TAGAGGTTCAACTGCCCTCACAACTGCATAAGGTCATACAAGCGCCGAAGATTAGAGGTGTTACAAGAGAGAAACAAACATTTTTAAAAAAGGGGAGATAAGGAAGATAGACGCTTGATAGGAAAGAAGGAGCAAACTACACTGCAGCACCCGCCAACCACCAACTAGAAACAGCTGTTTTGTATTTAGTTTTTTGTTTTGTTTTGGGTTTTTTCTCCTTCTAAGGCGTTCTCACACCTCCACATATACAACTTCGACCATTTAGGAGGCCGGCTTTGACCTAGTCTCCTGCCTGTCAGGGCCAACCAGAGCTGAGAGGGAAAACAACATCCCAGCAGAAAGACCACCAAGGTAAGAGTACTTGATTAAAATTCTCCCCACACTGGAGTCAAACAAGAGTCTTTTGTCTGAGATGGCAAAGCTTGTAAATGGCACGCAATACTACATTATCATAAGTCGGTTCAAACAAAGACTAATTGCTACCTCAGAATTACGAAGCTCTAACAGCGCAGTACCTAGTTTTGAGAAATTCGACGTCAGAGACTTTTGAGTGTCACATCATGTCAAGCTTTTTCAAATGCAATTCTTTGAATATTTTGATAACGACTCAGAATAATCTTACGATTTTGATGGAACAAATAGAACATTTGTTTTCTGACCGCATGGTCTTAGTAACTGTAACTCAAAACAGCCAAAAATGTCAGTTAGAACTTAGTCATTCTGAGGTAGAGAAATGTCAGCAAAAAGTATATTATGGTTGAAAGGGAAACGACACAGAAGTCAGTGAAGGAGGCATGGCTACTAGTATGACTTTTTCATGAACAAAAGAGAAGACAGGAACTCGAATATATTTCTTAAAGAATCTGGTTTACATAAAAGAATGAAAGCAAAGAAGCAGGATCAACCAGAGACACCCTACAACCACCCTCTCACAGAAAACAAAGTTCTTTAACCAAATACGCTTCACATGAAACCTTGCAAGCCGTGGCAAAAAATATCATGCACATTTCATCAATGACAGCAAAAAATACACATACATTAAACGACAGCAAAAGTACATACTACATCAATTTTTGTCCACCAATTTTGCTCACAAGTCCCAGATACAGAAACGAGTCTACGCCTCGTCTCCCATAGCAACAAAAAAAAAATCCGGGAAGTGCCACCAGGGTCACAGAGCCACTATCCAACTCCGAGAAATGCTAAGTGGTAAGTGGTCGAACCAACTCGAGAACAACACAAGAGGCCAACAACGTAAGTGAGCCAGCAACCACCTTCCTCCTAGATCATCCTCCACAACTATATAGTTATTCCAACTAACTCGCAGGGGAAGAAGACAAGACTAGACAAGAAAACACAAAAAGAAAAGAATCCGACTTTTACAAAGCCAAAGCAGCACTAAACGTTACGACGACAAAACGAAAAGAAGAGACTGCGACGAAATAATCATAGCGCGTCAGCGCTAAAAATAAACTGTCTGACAGTCTGAGACGGTTTAAAAAAAAGGGGGTAAATAAAAAGCAAACATAAGATTCCGGGGTTTTTTTCTTCTTCTTTACTGCAGGGAAAGTGCATGATGATAAAAGATGGGTGGTGGGGGGGAAGAGACTACCACGAGACGAGGGAAGGTAAGCAACACATCGGCCGTCCCACGCCCCACTTAACACGGAAGCAAGGGGGAGCAGAAGACAAGCGAGAGTCCCTACAAAACTTCTTACGTAACAGACGACACCAAAAAAAAAAAAAGGGGGGGGGGGGGGAGTTAACCCCGGGTCACTGAACACGCATCTTTTGTTTTGTCACACTACCCGTTCTTTGCTTTTTCTTCGTAACCTTTTACTTTCAGTACGAGTTTTACACTCCACTTGCAACACAATTTGGGCTAAGTAGGAGCCGAAGATTAGAGGGGATGCTGCGCTAGAGAGTGATATGCAAAGAAAAGTAGAAGTGTAGAGTTAACGTCAATGGATGTCTGACATGAAAGAAGGAACACCCGCCAACTACCCACGCTTCTTACTTAAATCGCGCGTTTACATCCGTTGACTCTACCGTTCGTCACTAAACTAACCACTCCAGCCATTTCTCGTACATTGGCCTTTAATACCAATGTCAACAACAACGTTGCCCTTTATTTGTTGTTCCCTGGAATCGAGAGGGAAAGGATTTGTAACTAAAAAAAGCTTTTACACAGTCTTGGAGATCTGTAAACAATTTGTCATCTCTGTATTCAGGGGGAAAGAAGCAACAAAGCTCCACACGGGCGGCTGCATGCAGTAAAGAAAACCCCCCAAAACACTGGACTCTATAGATACCAAGATGTATAAGCACTACAGAGGTACATAAAAGGTTTTTGTCTTTTGCAACTCTATGACGCTGAGAGAAAGAGAAAGAGAGAGAGAGAGAGAGAGAGAGAGAGAGAGAGAGAGAGAGAGAGAGAGAGAGAGAGAAAGTATATGTGTGTGTATGTGTTTATGAGAGAGGGGAAGAGAGTATATCTGTGTGTTATGTATGTATATGTACGTATGTATGTGTGTGTGAGTGTGAGAGTGTGTGTGTGTGGGTGTGTGTGTTTGTGTGTGTGTGTGTGTGTGTGTGTGTGTGTGTGTGTGTGTATGTGTGTGTGTGTGTGTGTGCTGATTAAAACAAAACTGTAAAGCAAAATGATGGATAAAGGAAAACTCGAAAAAAAGGTATAACAGGAGAATAGAAAACAAGACAATCACACCCACGAGAGCACCAACATTAATAGACAAGGAGTCATGGGATGCACCCCCTCTCTCCCCCATAGCGCTCATTTACATATATGAATAGAGGAAGAGGCAGAGAGAAAGAGAGGGAGAGAAAGAGAGAGAGAATGTGTGTGTGTGCGTGTGTGTGTGCGTGTGTGTGTGCGTGTGTGTGTGTGTGTGTGTATGTGTGTGTGTGTGTGTGTGTGTATGTGTGTGTGTGTGTGTGGATACTCGTGTGTGTATAAGACAGATTGCGAAACCGAGATATAGCGAGAGGGACAGAGAATGTGTG